ACCTGCCTCTCTCAGAACTAGATAAATCTAATCACAAAATAAACAAGAAAGAAGTTAAGGAGGTGAGTAGAAAAATAGAATAGAAGGTGAATAGAAAATTTAGATATGGTAGAACTCATATGAAAAGTGAATGGTGATAGAAAGTAATACACATTTTTCTCAGCAGTACATGGCACCTACACAAAAATTGACCATGTATTAGGGCATAAAAACCTCATAATCTAATGTAGAAAGGCAAAAATATTAAATGCGTCCTTTTCAGATCATGATGCAATAAAAATTGCATGTAATAAAGAGCCATGGAAAGATAGACTAAAAATTAATTGGAAACTAAATAATCTAATCCTAAAGATGAGTGGGCCAAACAACAAATCATAAAAACTATCAATAACTTCATCCAAGAGAATGAAAATAATGAGACAACATACCAAATGGGATTCAGCAAAAGCAGTTCTTAGGGGAAGTTTTATATCTGTCAATGTTTACATGAGTAAAATAGAGAAAGTGGATATCAATGAATTGGACAAGCAATTAAAAAAGCTAGAAAAAGAACAAATTAAAAATCCCCAATTAAACACCAAATTAGAAATTCTGAAAACCAAAGGAGAGATTAATAAAATTGAAATTCAGAAAACTATTGAATTAATAAATAAAACTAAGAGCTGATTTTGTGGGGAAAAAACCCAATAAAATAGATAAACCTTTGGTTAATTTGATTAAAAAAAGAAAGAAGAAAACCGAATTATCAGTATTAAAAATGAAAAGGGTGAATTTACCACCAGTGCAGAGGAAATTAAAATAATAATTAGGAGTTATTTTGCAAAACTGTATGCCAATAAATTTGACAATCTTAGTGAAATGGATGAATATTTACAAAACTGTAAATTTCCCAGATTAACAGAAGAAGAAATAAAATAGTTAAAGAACCCCATTTCAGAAAAAGAAACTGAAACAAGCCATCAATGAACTGCCTAAGAAAAATTCTCCAGGGCCAGGTGGATTTACAAGTGAATTTTATCAAACATTTAAAGAACAACCAATTCCAATACTATATAAACTATTGGAGAAAATAGGCAAAGGAGTCCTACCAAATTCTTTTTATGATACAAATATGGTGCTGATACCTAAACTGGAAAGAGCCAAAACAGAGAAAGAAAATTATAGAGCAATTTCCATAATGAATGTAGATGCAAAAATTTTAAATAAAATATTAGCAAAAAGATTATGGCAACTTATCTCACGGATGATACACTATGACCAGGTAGGATTTATGCCTGGGCTGGTTCAATATTAGGAAATAGCATAGTTGACCATATCAATAGATGCAAAAAAAGCTTCTGACAAAATACAACACCCATTCCTATTAAAAAACATTAGAAAGCATAAGAATAAATGGAGTCTTCCTTAAAATGATAAGTAGCATCTATCTAAAACCATCAGCAAGTATTATATGTAATGGGGATAAGCTGGAATCATTTCCAATAATACTGGGGGTGAAACAAGGATGTTCATTATCACCACTATTATTCACTACTGTATTAGAAATGTTAGCTTTAGCAATAAGAGAAGAAAAATAAATTGAAGGAATTAGAGTAGGCAAAGAAGAAATAAAGCTATCACTCTTTGCAGATGATATGATGGTATACTTAGAGAATCCTAGAGAATCAACTAAAAAACTACTTGAAATAACAAAAAAATTTAGCAAAGTTGCAGGATATAAAATAAACCCACAAAAATCATCAGCATTTCTATACATTACAAACAAAGCCCAACAGCAAGAGATAGAAAGAGAAATTCCATTTAAAGTTACTGTATACATTATAAAATATTTGGGAGTCTACCTGCCAAAACAAACAGAGGAACTATATGAACACAATTACAAAACTCTTTTCACACAAATAAAGTCAGATTTAAATACTTGGAAGAATATCAGTTGCTCATGGGTAGGCCAAGCTAATATAATAAAAATGACGATTCTACCTAAATTAATTTACTTATTCAATGCCATACCAATCAAACTATCAAAAATTATTTTATAGAGCTAGAAAAATAATAATAAAATTCACCTGGAAGAACATACCAGATCTTAAATTGTATTATAAAGTAGCAATCATCAAAACTACTTGGTACTGGCTAAGAAGGTTAGGTACACAAGACACGATAGTCTAGGATTATAGTCATCTACTGTTTGATAAACCCAAAGATTCCAGCTTCTGGGATAAGAACTCACTATTTAACAAAAACTGCTGGGAAAACTGGAGAACAGTATGGCAAAAACTAGGCATAGACCAACATCTTATACTGTATACCAAGATAAAGTCACAATGGGTACACAATTTAGATATAAAGTCTGATACTATAAGTAAACTTGGAGAGCAAGGGGTAATTTACCTGTCAGATTTATGGAAAATGGAAGAATTTATGACCAAACAAGAGATAGAAAACATTATGAAATGCAAAATGGATAATTTTGATTACATGGAATTGAAAAGTTTTTGCACAAGCAAAGCCAATGCAACCAAGATTAGAAGGGAAGCAGAAAATAGGGAAACAATTTTTATAGCCAGTGTCTGATAAAGGCCTCATTTCTAAAATAGAGAACTGAGTCAAATTTATAAGAATACAAGTCATTCCCCAATTGATAAATAGTCAAAGCATATGAACAGGTAGTTTTCAGATCAAGAAATTAATGTTATCTATAGTCATATGAAAAAATGCTCTAAATCACTGTTGATTAGAGAAATGCCAATTAAAATAACCCTGAGGTACCACATTACACCTATCAGATTGGCTAACATGACAAAACAGGAAATGATAAACATTGGAGAAGATGTGGGAAAATTGGAACATTAATGTGTTGTTGGTGGAGTGGTGAATTGATCCAACCATTCTGGAAAACAATTTGGAACTATGACCAAAGGGCTATAAAACTGTGCATACCTATTGACTCAGCAGTACCAATTCTATATCTGTTTCCCAAAGAGATCATAAAAAAGGGGAAAGGATCCAAATGTACAAAATATTTATAGCAGCTCTTTTTGTAGTGGCCAATAATTGGAAATTGAGGGGATGCCCATCAATTGGGGAATGGCTGAACAAGTTGTGGCATATGAATGTAGTGGAATACTATTGTTCCATAGGAAATGATGAGCAGGCTGACTTTAGAAAAACCTGGAAAGACTTCTATGGACTGATGCTGAGTTAAGTGAGCAGAACCAGGAGAATGTTGTACACAGTTAATAGCCATATTGTGCAATGACTAACTTTGATAGACTTACCTCTTCTTAGCAATGTAAGATCTAAGACAACTCCAAAAGACTTATGATGGAAAATGATATCCACATCCAGAAAAAGAATTATTGAATCTGAATGCAGATTGAAACATACTATTTGCTCTTTTTTTTTTGTTTTGTTTTTGTTTCTTCTTTCTTGTGGTTCCTCCCCTTGGTTCTGATTCTTCTTTACAATATGACTAATATAAAAAATATGTTTAATGTGAATGTATATGTAGAGCCTATATAAAATTACATGCTGTCTTGAGGGTGGGTAGAGGGAAGGGAGGGTGAGAAAATTTGGAGTCCAAAATCTTATGGAAGTGAATGTTGAAAACTAAAAATAAAATAATTAATTAATATTTAAAAAAAAAACATTGTGCAATGATCAACTTTGACAGACTAAGGATCTAAGACAATTCCAAAAGACTCAAAAGGGAAAATGCTATCCACATCCAGAGAAACAACTATGGAGTCTGAATGCAGATCGAAGCACACTATTTTCTCTCTCTCTTTTTTTTTTTGTTTCTTCTTTCTCATGGTTTTTCCCTTTGGTTCTGATTCTTCTTTAGAACGTGACTAATGTGAAAATGTGTTTAATATGATTGTACATGTGTAGCCTATATCAGATTGCATGCTGTCTCTGGGAGGAGGAGAAAATTTAGAACTCAAGATCTTAAAGAAGTGAATACTGAAAATGAAAAATAAGTAAATAATTTTTTTAAAAAAGATGAGAGAAATGTTGGAAAATATAAATTATATATAACCAAGAGATATCAATAAAAATGTATTTTTCTAAAATGGTGGTTAAGTTCACAGAATCTCAGATTTGGGAAGGGCCTCAGAATTTACTTAGTCTGACTCATACCTGAACAGGAATCCCTTCCACAACCTTGCTAATAAGTGGTCCTCCACTTTCCATATAAGGAACTCATTATTCCCCACCCTAGCTAACCCACAAGAATCTATTTAACCTAAAATGTGATTGAAATACAATTATCATTTTCAATAATAAAAATGATAACTAGCATTTATATAACATTTTAAAATTCATAAAGCTCCTTATATATATATTAACTCATTTGGTGGTCTAACAACCCTGTGAGGTAGGTGCTATTACTATTTCTGTTTTACAGATAACTGTCGGCAATTTTCAGAAACTGAGGCAGAAAGAAGTCGTTACTTGACTATGGTCACACAGCTAGTCAGCATCTGAGGTAGGATTTGAATTCTGATCTCCCTGACTCCAGGTCCAGGATTCTAGCCACTATGCCAACTATGCAAACTATATAGTACTATTTCAATAGTATCCTGGTGTGTGTGCAGCTAGATGGCTAGACTGAACATCAAATAGAGCCGTGGATAGAGCATCAGGCCTAGAGTTAGGAAGACCTGAGTTCAAATCCGACCTCACTTACTAGCTGTATGACCCTGGGCAATTAGTTTACTTAACACTGTTTAAATCAGTTCCTCATCTGTAAAATGAGCTGGAGAAGGAAATGGCAAACCACTCCAGTATCTCTGCCAAGAAAACCCCAAATGGGGTCATGAAGAGTCAGACATGACCGGAACAACTAAACAGCAACAAAATTAAGGTTTGTAGACTTCTAAAGTTCTGGTCTATCGCCTCTTCCTGGACTCTCAAAGGCTGTACTAATGGACTGCAAACTCAAATAACTCTTGCCAGGCTGAAAAGTCTTAGAAGTATGGGCCTAGTAAGGTACTTACCATAGGATTTTCATCCAAGGGCCAGTCCAGCACAGAGAGGCTATGACCAGATTCACCACTGAATGATATATTCTTTTTTTTTCTTTTGGCCATACCAACTCTTAGAAACTCTCTCTACTAAGGTATAGAGGGTTGATCTCTGCATTGGTGGAGAAAATATATTCATTGTTACAATCGTAGATATTTGATATATGCTATGTAGATTTTGTGAACTAAATTATCATAGGAAAAAGTAATCCAAGTTGAAAACATTGTTTAATAGAAACACATCTCTAATAGCATGGCAACCCAATGAGAGGTTGCTCCCCAATCCCCACTCTTACCCCTGTGAGACTTCCCTTAGGACAAAGAGAAATAGTTAAATGAAACCAACCAACATAGTAATGATGTCTGGCAATGTACTCAATATCTCACACCTATAGTCCCCCACCTCTCCCGGAAAAGGTAAAAAGTGTACTTCTTCATCTCTTCTCCATAGGCAGGAGTAGACATTCAAACTATATACCAGTCTAATTTTATTTTATTAACCTTTTCATTTACAATACTAAAGTCATCACATAAATAATTTTCTGATTCTGCTTACCATTCTGTATTGATTACATTCTGATTCTTCATTGATTCAGAGAAATTTTCCCTAGTTTCTCTTAATTCTTTATAGTCATCATTTCTTATAGTATAATGACGTTGTCTTCGGGAGCTGGTCTTTGAAAAAGTAAGACCAAATCACAGAAAAGGAGTCAATAACAGTGTCTAAATTGTTGCCTAAATTTCTAAACAACTAAATTAATTGTCTAAATTTCTCTTTGATCTCTTCAGCATATATATTCAGAAGTGGGATCTATCGATCAAAAGGTATGAACAGCTTACTGACTTTTATCTCATAATTCCAAATTGTTTCTCCAGAATGGTTGAACAAATTCCGAGTTCCGCCAGCATTATATCAGGGTCCCTGTCTTGCAGTCCTTCCAACATGGACTAGTCCTATTTGTTTTTAATTCTCTGTTACCATTTGGTGATTGTAAGATGAATTCTGTGAATTGTTTTAATGAGTATACCTTTCATTATTTTGAGCAATCTTTCATATTGTTGTTAATAATTTCTTCTTTTCTTAAACCTCTGCTCATATTCTTTGATCACTGACTCTTAATCTTGGGTATTTGTGCTAATTCCCTATATATCTTAGATATCAGACTTTTTTCAGTGATATTTTATATAGTCATTTTTTCCCTATTTGATAGTTTACTCTCTTAACCTAACTGCATTGATCTTGTCCGTGAAAAAGCTTTTCAATTTCATGTAACTTGTTAACAGGTTTTTACTGAGCCAGTTTCCAACCTGAGAATAACAAAACAGCAGGCCAGAGACAAAGTGCCAGTAATCAGGTAGCTGTTTAATTAATTTGTTTCATTATGAGGAACAGATTTGCAAATTGGGAATTTCAGAATTTCACCTTGCTGTAGTGAAGACAGAGATTATATACATAAATCACAATGGGAAGAGAAGGGGGAAGGTGGATTACAAACAATCATTTCTAGGGCTTGAGCAGTTTCCCATGACAAACCCACAAATGGAAGACAATTCAACAATTCTGGAGTCTAGTCTTTGGGGGTTGTGACTTGGTGGGTCACAGGACCAGAACTCTGTGATGAGAATAGGTTCTTACGGTCTTTGATTCACTTCACTTAAGGTACAGGCAGTGATTGTGAGAGTTGTCAAGGTTTTATTGATCATTTCAAGCTACATTGTGAGCTTCTAACTCACAAGAGAAGCAATTCTGAAAAATCTAAATTATTAATATATTCATTATACATATATCAATTACTATGAAAATTATCATTCTCTTCACAAACTGAAATTATCTTTTTTTTATTTCATGTGATTTACTCTATTCCTAGTTTGATCATGAATTCTCTCCCTACTTATAGCTGTGAAAGGTACTTCCATTTTCTTCCAAGTTAGAAAAAATGATGAGACCTTTTATACTAAGTCTTGAATGAACTGGAACTTATTCTGGTCTTAAGGAGTAAGACACAGAATTAAACCAATTTTTTCTGTCAAACTGCTTTCCAGTTTTTCCAGTAGTTACTGACAAATAGCAAATCCTTCCCCGTGAAGTTTACACTTAGGGATTTATCAAACACTGGGCTAATTAGTTTGGTGGTTTCTGATTCTTGCTTATCTATTTTGTTCCACTGATCTACTTTTCTCTTTTCTGAACTGGTATCAAAATTTTGTGATTGGTGTTATAAATAGCAGTAATTTAAAGTTTGGGATATTCCAATTCGTTCTAACTTTTCCCTCTCTCTATTTCTCTTCCTGGGCTCTTTTAAAGATAGTTTTACAAGATCTAAGCAATTTTAACTTCTTTGATCACTATCTGCTGCTTGTTTGGTCCTTCAAAAAGAGGAAAAGAAATTTCTCAGAAGGAGAGATAAGAATAAGAGAAAACCGTTATTTCTTCATTAGGAAAAAATTGAAGATCACGCACTATGGTAAGTTGTGGTTGATCTTATTCATTGCCCCATTATTTCAATGAATAGTTCAAGAAGGAAAAAGGATCAAAAATTAGAGGACCCCTGCAAACTGAATACTATTCTTCAGCATCCCAGAATCTTTAAATAAAATACAAATACTTGAATTAAAGTTTGCAGTAGCATGTTTCTTGCTCATTTAAAGAAACTGTTCAAGAGTGGCTTTGATTCCATTCTGATAACATAGGGAGGTCTTCTTAAGATCCCTTACTGGATAGTAAGGAGAGTATATATGGAGAATATAGTTATATATATGGAGAGTATAGTTGCATACACCAGCCTTTCACATGAATACAATTTTTTAAAATTATCTTATACTTTCCCTCTAAGAACTTTACTATTGTGAGTATTCTTGCTACCAGTCCCAGGCATTTGGAAGAATAGTTATCTGTGAGATAACTGTCTACAATGCATTGCAGTGAAGAATAAAATGAAAAAGAATGTAAAAAGCCTACCACAGTGTGAAAATTCTATAAAGTGTGATGTTTGGGTAGGAACTGCTGCTTTCCATTCTGATCCTTTTTTTTCCACAGTACTTTTCTAGCTCTTAATCTTTGGGGTGAAGGAGGTGTCTTCAGCCCTCTCCTGGTTACACAGCTGCAATGTCTCATCTCTACAGGACTTTCTATTCCATGCCTCTGTGCTAGGTGAATTTTCAGATCCCCTTTATGTAATGTCTCCCCTAAAAGAATGTAAGCTCCTTTAAGATAGGGGCTGTCTTCTGTTTCTATTTCTGTTCTTAGTGCTTAGCACAGTGTCTGGCACATAGTAAATATTTAATCAATGCTTGTTGACTGACTGACTGACTGACAAAGGGCTTGGAGAAGATATCCTCCTTCCTGGACATTTTCTGGGCTGTTTGACTCAAGATGACTCTGGGGAGTTGACCTTTCCACACCATCTTGGAGGATAATGCCAGAAGTTCGGCTCTCCATTTCATGATTCAAATATTTTGCCAGTGCCTTCAATGGCTTCTACTGGAATTGGACCCCGGACAACCGATCACAGTGAATCTTTTCCAAGTTGTATTTGGCAGTCATTATGTCCAGCATGTCCAGTTTCTTTTGCTGGCAGTTGCACTAAGGAATCACCAACCACTCTAATGGAGCCACTGCTCATGGAGTACTTGGTGCTCATGTTCTTCTAGCCATAGTGGCTTCAGCAGCTGAATAGAGATGTATAGGTACGTGAGCAGAGAAGATAGAACCCAAAGGTCCCACTCTGAGTTGGGACATCCATCTGCTTCAAAATAGCCTTGCTGAAGTACATCTGAGTAGAGGAGAAGGTGAAGGATATTTGACCAAGTGCAAGGCCTAGACTTAGAGGGAGGAGGTGGCACACAGCAGTGGGACTGGACAATGTCCTTTCTGATCTTTGAAGTCTTTTCTAACTGAAAATCCTAAGAATCCTGGATAACTTTGCCTTAACAACCACCACCAAGCTAGCACCAACTCAAGTTGGTGAAAGTATAAGATATGAAAAGGTATTATCTTGGGATGCTTTGGACAATCATAAAGTTGCTTTCAAATGAAGAAGTGAGATATCTTTTAATGTCCACTTCCTTCTTCACCCTTCTCCAATCTCAATCACAAGTTTTAGGACATCATTGTTATTGTTGCAAGATAACTGAATCATATGCTTTTACCAGGCCTTCTTCCTGGACTCCTCACACACAACATTCCATCAATAGTCTCTGCATCCTTAGGCTGTTCCATATGCTTGGGATGCATTACCATTGCACTAAGTAGTATCCTTCCATATACTCTCTTTATTTGTTCCCCAAGATCATACAATCCCGTTTGTTTAAAGGGGTTCCAAATAACATCTGCAGCACTCTGAGAGGACAATGATGGAAGCACAGAGAGAGCCTAGTCCATTAGAGCATGGACTGACTTAATTATCTTTTTGTCTTGGTCAAAGGAGGTACTCAGTGAATGGTTATTTACTGAGAAAAAGAGTGGCATCTACTACTCATCCTTGGTTGAAAATCATTAAGAAAGCCGGCATGCTAATTCACAGGAAAGCCCACCCTCTGTAGAAGTTCCAGCTGGTGGTAGAGATCATAGATGTAGTGGTAGAGAGCCATATGATGCCTGCTAAATAAGAAACGTGCCGAGATGGAGGCTGCATCTTCACTTTCCTCATGTAATGATCTGCCCAAGAAAAAGGGTGGATTTGAGATTCCCAGTGTCTGAACCAATATATTATGTTTCATAACACGTCTGATATTGGTAAATTTGTCATGTTTCTGACACATACAAATTAAGAAGTGTTGTTATGGTTTATTTATTCTAACTATAGTTTTTTTCATGTTTCATATCAGGTTTTCTTTAATAACTAGCAAATGTGTTTGAGCAAAAAACATACATTCCACACACTACTTGGTTATAAATAGTGTCACCTTTAAGAAAAGGAATATTTCAAATTGGTTCAGCCAAGTAGACCCAAATCATTTCTGAAAGTCGAAGAAAGAATAATTTCCAAATGGATTTCTTGCCGTGCGTAATGTTAAGTGCAGCCCTGTCAGCTTTTATACTTTATTTTGACCTGCTTTGTAAAATGATATTCAGAACAGCTCAGTGTGATGTCAACTTCCATTAATTCTTTCTTCAATGATAGGTATTCATTATTCAAACCGTGTTTTCACTGGCACAATCTATTTATGCTTCAGTTTCTTTGCTGAAGTCGTTTGGAAGGAACAATTCCTAGGGAAGACTAAGTTCTTTCTTTGCAATTTTTCTCCTAAAACGACCTTCCAAAAGGACAATAGAGATTGTTCTATAACAATATCTGCGTTGTTTCCAAGGCATATATTGTGAAAACATTTAACGTTTCTTATACTTGAACAGATCTGCCATTAAACTAGTCAAGTACTAAACAAGTTAAGATGTATTTAAGATTATTTCCATTGTGAGCATTTTCATCAATTGTTTATTTGGCTCATCTAAGGTTGCCCAGTAAAGGGCACCTCACAATAATAATTTTCTTGCTTGTTTTTTACATGAGACATGAACAGAACCATTCTCTCGCTGATTTATAAGCATAAAAAATACAAGTTTATAAAACTACTTGTTGTCTTTTAACAGTTATAATGATTACATGTTGGAAAGAACAGCTTCTTTTTTGCTGATCCAATACTGCATGATACAATACTTAAGAAATAAATTGTCCAGTAAGTTTTTGGTTTGAAAGGACCATATAAATCACCTATTTGAAATCCTGCCTTTAAAAAAAACAGAAAACAGCTGGGAGGAGGGCAGGCGGAGAAAAGGGGAACAGATATTAGAGTGAACCTAAATCTGGATTTGGTTGATTCATTAGTGGAATTTGGAAAAGAAAACATTCCCAGGAGAACTGTAGTGATTCATAGTCCTGAGAGCAGTCACATAGTCACACAATTTGTAAAGCAGCCATAAAACTACTAAGGGTAGTTTTCTCCCTCCTTTTCATTCAGACTTGGCTATCTCCAGTCTTTTTCTGAAGCCGAGCTCTAGCTGGCTCAGTCAAAACCAGCGGCTCTTGTATGATGGTTGCTGGGTAATTTTTGCCCAGCAGTTCGACCTCCACTCTCTGTCCCACTTTACTAAGCTCCATGGGGACATAAGCAAAAGCCAGACTCTTCTGAGTGCTGTAACTGTAGCTTCCAGAGGTGGTGTTGCCAACAACCTGAAAGACAAAGGAAATGATCCTCATCATCTGTATCACTCATTTGCGCAGGGTCGTTTATGTACTAAAGAGTGTGCTCCATTTGTCCTCGACAATAGGAAATCACTCCCGAGTAGAATAAAGTCAGTGGATAACCACTCACACATTTATATTATGCAGCTCCACTGATACAGTACTCCATTCAAATCATGGTGTTCTATGGCTGTAGACAAATGACTCTACTCTTCTGGGAAGAAAACAAGTATTAAGTGAGTACATCCTCTGGGCACTGTATTAAGAACTTTACATTTGATCTGGGCCTCAGTTTCCTCAACTGTAAAATGAAGAGGATTTACTAGATAATGACTTGGATATCCTCCAACTCTTCATAACTATGACTACAGGAATAACTATGACATTCTTATAGTCAAGCAAAATTCAAGCCTCTGACACTTACTAACTGTGTGATCTTGAGTATGCTATTTTACTTCTATGGGGCTCAGTTTCCTCATAACTTTTAATAATAGTAACTTCATTCATTTTCTACTCTTCCTTTATTGCTACTTCCATCTTCTGACACTTATAGAAATATGATTGTCTTCAGAAGACGTCTTTCCCCTCTTTAGCCCATGCACCCTTCTCAGCCCTGGTGGTTTAGGAGGAGGATTAGACATACTTTCTGGCTCCTAAGTGTTGCTTCCAGATCCTTCCTCTACCTCTCCATCTCTGAGGAACACTCAATCCAAATGTTTCACCCTATCCAGCTCCTCCTGGAAGTTATCCAACCTACAGGTCATATCCCCTGTTTTCTCAAGGAGTTCAGTATCTGCCTTTTTCTTCAACCTGTCCCTTGCCCTTTTACTTGGGAACTTTAACATACATGTTGCTGTTCCCTCAGATACCCCGGCCTTCTACTTGCTCATTTTATTCAACTTCTATTACCTGCCTCTTCACTGTACTTCATTCACCCACAGGGAAGGTCAGTCATACCTTTGACTTCACCATCACTCACAAGTGTTCCACATCGATGATCAAGTTACTATATCCAGCTATAATATCCTGTCATTCCACCTCTCTTGATACTTCATGCCTTCTAAATCTTTTCTTTATCCTTACTGTGACCTCCAATCCTTCAGCCCCTCAGGCTCACCACCCCTCCCTCCCCTATCATTCTTATTCTGGCTTCACATTTCTTCCTTCCCAATCTTGACAGTTCAGTGTTGCTCTGTTCTCCATTGTATCCCTTGCTTCCTTGACCTGTCATTGCTTTGCCAGATCCCAGTCCTGAAATGTCCTTACCATCTGACTCCTCTGCTCCTACTCACCTGTAGCTAAAGGGTGCTGGAAGAAGTCATCTGACTGTCCCAGTCACCCAGGCTCACAACCTAGGTGTCATCCTTGATTCTTCACTCACTAGCAACTCACATATTTAACCTGTTGCAAAGTCCTGTCATTTCTACCTTGACAACATTTCTCTTGTGTGTCTCCTTCTCTCTACTCATGTAGCTGCCACCCTGTGCAGGCCCTAATTGTCTCATGCCTGAACTACTGCAGTAGCCTTTTGGTAATTCTTCCTGCCTCAGGTCTCTCTCCACTTCAGTCCACTCTCCACTCAGCTGCCTAAGTGATCTTCTTAAAGCTCAGGTCTGACCATGTCACCCCTTCCCAACTTCATAAATTTCAATGGCTCCCTATTATTTCTAGAATCACATATAAAATCCTGGTTGGCTATTGAAGCCCCTACAAACCTGGTCTCTCTCTACTGCTCCAGTCTTCTTACCTATTGTTCTCCTCCCTTCTGAATATCTCTTGGACACACTATCTCCCAATTCTTTCACTGGCTATCCCCCATGCTTGGAATATTGTCACACCTTGTTGCCAAATCCTGGCTTCTTTCAATACTCAACTCAAATCCTACCCTCTTCAAGAGAAGTTTCCCAAAAGAGTATGGCAGAAACTAGGCATAGACCCAAATCTCACACCATATACCAAAATAAAGTCAAAATGGGTTCAGGACTTAGATATAAAGGCTGATACCATAAGTAAACTGGGAGAACAAGGAATAGTTTACCTATCAGATCTATGGAGAACAGAAGAATTCATGAACAAACAGGAGATAGAGAACAATATGAAAACCAAAATGGATAATTTTGATTACATTGAATTGAAAAGTTTTTGCACAAACAAAGCCAATGCAACTAAGATTAGAAGGAAGGTAGAAAATTGGGAAAGAATTTTTACAACCAGTATCTCTGATAAAGGCCTCATTTCTAAAATATATAGAGAATTAAGACAAATTTATAAGAACACAAGACATTCCCCAATTGATAAATAGTCAAAGGATATGAACAGACAGTTCTCAGATGAAGAAATTAAAGCCATCTATAGTCATATGAAAAAATGCTCTAAATCGTTATTGATTAGAGAAATGCAAATCAAAACAACTCTGAGGTACCACATCACACCTATCAGATTGGCCAACATGACAAAACAGGAAAATGATAAGTGTTGGAGAAGATGTAGGAAAATTGGAACACTAATACATTGTTGGTGGAGTTGTGAAATGATCCAACCATTTTGGAGAACAATTTGGAACTATGCCCAAAGGGCTACAAAAATGTGCATACCCTTTGATCCAGCAATAGCACTTCTAGGGCTATATCCCAAAGAGATCAAACAAATGGGAAAAGGACCCACATGTACAAAAATATTCATAGCAGCTCTTTTTGTGGTGGCAAAGAATTGGAAATTGAGAGGATGCCCATCAATTGGGGAATGGCTGAGCAAGTTGTGGTATATGAATGTAATGGAATACTATTGTGCTATAAGAAATGATGAACAGGCTGACTTCAGAAAAACATGGAAAGACTTATATGGTCTGATGCTGAGTGAAGTGAGCAGAACCAAGAGGATTTTGTACACAATAACAGCTACGTTATGCAATGACTATGATTGTTAAACTGAACCCTTCTCAGCATTGAGGATCTATGACATCTCCAGAGGCCTCGGGATGGAAAATGCTGTCCACATCCAAAGAAAGAACTATAGAAGTCAAATTGCAACACTTATTTTTACCTTTTGTTGAGTTTTGTTTCATCTTTCTGATGGTTCCTCCTATTGGTTTTAATTTTTATTACAACTTCACTAATGGGAAAATATGTTTAATGGGTATGTAAATGTAAAGCCTATATCAGATTGTGCGCTGTCTTGGGGAGGGTTGGGGGGGAAGGGGGAGAAAAATTTTCAACTCAAAAGCAGATGGAAGTGATTGTTGATAAATCAAAATAAATTAATAAAAAAAACTGAAAAAAAGAGAATTTTCCCAGTTCCCACCCATCTGCTCCAATGCAAGGGCTTTCCCTCTGAGATTTCTTGCCATTTACACACCCACACACACACACATATATGTATAGACAGATATATATATACATATATATACATATAAATCTTTATGTATCTTGTATGTACGTAGTTATTTATATGTTATCTTCTGAATTAGAATGTGAACTCCTTAAAGGCAGAGATCATGTTTTTGTCTTTCTTTGTATCCTTAATGCTTAGTAATGCCTTGATCCTAGTAAGTCCTCTATTGATTAGCTGACACAACCCTGCTGATTGGGCTTACTACAAATTTGTGTTATATAATCTCAACTAGGTGCTCTCTGCAACAAGGCAATAGTTTTACTCTTCTCTACTGGACTCTTTCTCTTGTTCTCACCAAAGAAAGTGTTCCCAAATTTCACTTCCTTTCTTAAATCTCGCCCCCCCCAATCCTCTCAGAGGGACCTCACTCCACACTTTATTGAGGAAATAAAGATCATTCACATTGAACTCCCTCTTCTCCCCTACCCTACATTTCAAAACTTCTTAATATCGTCTTCATTTTCATCTCTGTTACTCCAGTCTCTGATGAAGAGGGAACCCTTCTCACTGAGGTTAACACATCCACATGTACCCTTGACCACATCCTTTAAAATCTCTTGTCAAATTGTTTTGCCTATCATATTTCTCTCTAATCTTCAATGTCTCTCTATCTACTAGCTTCTTGCTTCCTTCAATCTTACCCAGAGCTCCCCTTCCTTAAAAAGTTCCTCACTTGACCCAAACACTTCCTCAAACTCTCTTCCTATATCTCGCCTTCATTTTAAAGCCAAACACTTGGAAAAAATTGTCTCTTTTTATGGCCTCCATTTTCTCTTGTCTCACACTTCTCAGCACTTTACTGTTTTGGCTTCTTGACCTTATTCTCCCATTGAAACCGATCTCTTTGAAGTTACCAACAGTCTCTTAATTTTCAAGACCAATGACTTCTCTGAGGCATTTAACTCTCTTCCTGGATTCTTCCTCTTCTCTGGGTTTTCATGACTAACACTCTCTCTTGGTCCTGTTCCAATCTAATTGGCCGTTCCTTATCTTTTATTGGATTATTATCCTCAATCCATACTCTAACAGTGGGTGTAACCCAAGGTTTTGTCCTTGACCCTCTTTTCATTCTGCACACTTTATAGTCTTTTCATTTCCCTTGGGCTTAATGTCATCTCCATATATATGACTCCTAAATATTGATATCTGGCCCTCGTTTCTTTCCTGAGCTCCAGGCCTTCATCAGACTATTGAACAATTCAAACTGGATACCCTGGAGACTTCTCAAACTCATTGTGTCCTAAACAGAACTCATTATCTTTCCTCCCAAACCTATCCTTTTTCTTAACTTACCTATTTCAGTCAAAGGTGCCACCATCCTTCCATTCACCCAGATTCCCAACCTCAAAGTCATCCTCAGCTCTTCCCTTTCCCCATGTATCCAGTCAGTTTCAGCTCTACCTCCACAATACCTCTCACACTCTGTTCCTTTTCTCTACTCAAATAGCTATCATCCTAGTTAAGACCCTTATCACCTGTCACCTGGAATATTACAATAACCTCCCAGTTGGCCACCATGCTTAAAGTCTTTCTCCTCTCTAATCAATAGTCCGTATATATAGGTATCAAAGTGATATTCCAAAAGCACAGATCTGACC